TGCATATATAATGCATATATCATTACATATCTCAGATTACATCTGAGATCTCAAAACAGCAAAATAAAAAAAAGGTCATTTTTCTTAAAAAAATTTAAAAATTACATGTTTGAAAAAGTCTCTACAGGGTTGAAGGAAATGAATACAGGCTTTGTTCTCCTGTCAGACATTTTGCAGAAACAAAGGCTTCACAACCTACAGCATTTTCATTTTTTCTGTTATTATATACCAAAATAATAATCAAAAGAAACATTGTATCAGAGAAGCACTTAAATTTTCATATCCCAGGATGTAGAATATACTACTCCTGCTGCAATTGTTGATGCAATAAATAAATTAAATGAAAAAATAAGTGATGCCATCACTGAATTCCCTTTAACACTAAATAGAGAAAGCTCCCCTGACAAATCTTCATCTATTTCATTCAAAAAATCACTTGAAGCTTGAGACTGATTATTTCAGCTTTACAGGATTGTGTTCTTGTTTAGCAACTCCATTACTCTCTTAATCACACCTTGCTGTGACTGACAAAGACCTTTTTACTGCAGAGTTTGGGATGTCCAATAGAGACACAGAACAGGAAGGGACTTCTGGAAATCAGGTACTCATATTCCCCGTTCAAAGCAAGGCTAATGTCAAAGTGATATTGAGCTGCTCAGGACCTTGTCCAGTTGAGTTCTCCCTACATCCTACAGAGCTTCAGAAACTAATTATCAGAAACTAATTCTCTGCAAGTCAGGAAATACAAAGAAAAGGCATCACCACTGCTGTTGTAAAATTGCTTTGCTGAAGGCGCCAAAAGCCACCAAACATTTTCTGGGGTCCAGGCAGAACACCTGCACTACTTTTAGAAGGTAGAAGGTTTCATGACAGCAAGTTAGTAGAGCTGTGAAACCAGCATGGCCAATACGATACTGAAAAGGCTGAGTGCATATGAAAGAATGAGGAAATAAAAAAGTGTTGGCAAAGATCGTGATGAATAATTAAGACCAAACTATCTATGATTCTGACTCAGCATCCTTTTCCTACAGGGAACTGTCTGCAAGTAAATGGCATATAAGGATGGGTTGACTGTTTGATGATGCGATCAAGAAAGCAGAACATTTAACAGCACTAAGCAGTTGTAAAATTTGTCCATGTGGCATTGCCAAGGAGTAGTCTCAGAATCTGAATGGTCAGTGGGGTGGTTTTTGAGAACTTGCCCAAACAAAAGCAGTGGCAGAGCAAAGAGGGTTTGAGGATCTCTTACACGCATTTTTTCCTTGAGCAACCTGCTCACTCTGCAAATATCTGATTTTCCTGTGCAATGTCCCAGCAGAAGGCACCTACTTGCAACTTGATTGTAATAAGGACAGAGTTGCAGCTAGGTTCAAGCCTGTCTCTGGACTTCATGGTGTTCTTGATTTATCTTGTGACCCCCTTGGGTTATCGTTCCCATGAGGAATAAAAGAAGATGTTCAAATTCTATGGAAAAGACAGCTTATTCCTTCCTTCTGCCTGCTCCCCAGTTCATATGCACAGGGAGAGAGAAGAGGCCATAGACAATTTCTGCAGGCACAGGGCTCACCGAAATCTAGCTTACTTGTATAGGGAGAAGAGATAGAGGGGCAAAAGTGCCCTCATTGTCCTAAAATATGCCTGTTGCTTTTGTTCCACTTGTCATTACTTTCCACGATACCATTCTGAACCACCACTCTCCCTTCCAGTTTCCACTGGAGTTCTTACGTTTCTTTTCCACAACTCAACCTCTATTTTTCCACTCGCTCTTCACAGGAATCATTAAGCCCCTCACTTACTAATTTATTTTTACTCTAAATATTGCCCGAAAGGTTATATCCTATTCAAATCATGGTTTATACATAAATGTATTTTAAATTTGTATTTTCAATTAAATAAAACCTAATCCCTTCAAATCTGAATCCTAAAGAAGATGTATTGTAACTATATTCCTATGGTTGTCTGATTTTCAGCAAAGGCAGAGTCCAAATTCACAACAGCTAGGTGTAAGTCAAACTCTAAGCCACTAACATCTTTAGAAACAAGGAGGGGAAACCATTCTGGTAAAGTATTTCTGCACACAAAAATTTAGTTTGTTTCTTGAACAAAATTCCACACTACACAATGTGTTAAATTCAGCCTCCCCAGATGAGAGGTAGAGTCTAGTCACAAGTAAAGAAAATGCTGAGAAACTGGGATTTGCTGAGGAACTACTAAAAACAGTTACAAAAAATCCATAATGGAATCTGTGTACAACAAGAAATGCCACGGAGTCTGCCCACACCCCCATCTCTGGAGACTGTATCTCAGAAATCTCTTGCTCAAATGATCCCAAGTTTTCATCAGTTCATCACTTTGTGTATATATATATATATATATATATATGGATTTCACAGTAATCCAAGGCAGCACAAAGATTTCAGAGCCCTTATGCTGCAGCCAAACGGACCTGCAGTGTACCCCAGGGTTCTGGTCCCTCTATCATCTGGGGACCTGGCCAGGCACTCCGCAGTGCCCATCTGCTGCACACAGATGGGCTTCCTCGCAAAGGAAACAAAAGCGGGAGGGGGGAGGCTGCCACACATCCTTGTTGTGCCCTGGTATGCCCTAGACAGACTGTGACCAGGGCATATACTTCTCCTCAGGCACTCAGATGTATTCCCAGGTCCCATACTCTAGAAATTGTCCTAGAAAACCTGGGTTTTAAACTCATAGACCCTTTATAACTCTGCAGCATGGTTGGTGCTCTGCTTTGCTCTAATACTCATTGAGCCTTTAGCAGAGGAGTGAAAATACAGAAGCATGCTTAATTACTTATTTTTAAATGCAACAGATATGTAACAATTTGAATGTCTAGACTATAATTTACATAAATACATTTCAAACCAAAACATTTTAAAATTATTTATTTCCTACTTCTTTGCCTAAGTGCTTTGCTGAATTGCAGCCAGACTGCAGGATCGAGCGAAAGGTGCATAAATCAAAGCTTCAAAGAAATATAATGTTCACAAAGATTGTATTTAGTTGAGCAAATTTAGAAGAATGAAACCAACTATGAAGAAAAATTAGATTGGCTGAAAATTAATAAAGCACAGCTGGAATTATTTGATTCATCCATATTTGTTGCTTAAAATGGCTCTAGGGCTAAGTTTTGCTGAAAGAAGATACTTCAAGACTCAAGGGTCAATTGCTTTTGGAGACAAATTGACCTACTGGAATACACTTGCCTAATTTGGTTCTTGCAGAGGGGTGAGTCTACAGAAATATATAACCAAAAAACCAATTTTGATTCCAGTGAGCAGATATCAGAGGTCAAGTTTAAGGTTCCCATAAATTTACATATATACACTAAAAGATTAATAACTTCTCAAGTTACTGAGTTTCTTTGCTAAAAGCAAAGACAGATAAACTATGACAAAGAAACAACATATGTGCTTATTCCACATTCTGTTGGCTAGATACCATGCAGTCAGCTCATTGAGTGTTGCTGTGGCTAGATCTGCAATATTTCATACAGTTTGGTCATACTCAGGGAGTGCAAGTAAGACTATTGCTGGCTCAGCTCCTAGAAGAAAGTATGTTCTGATCTCACGATCATTAATTTTGAAACTAGTTTTATGTGCCAACTCAACTATTACACTTTTAGTTAAACAGCACTACTATTAGTTATATATCCACACATATAGTAATATAGTTTGCAATGAGGCCTTGTGAATACAGTTATACATTCCAACTATAATGCTTTTCAACTAGACAGATATTATATATTTGTACATCAGTATTATTTCCTATTCAATATTATGAATGTACTTTATAAAATAGCACTAAAATGGATCAGTATTGAGCTATTAAAAAAAACCACACCCACACCTAAAAATAGAAAATTATTTTACATATACATAAGCCTTGAAACTGGCATTAACTTTCCAGGAAATCTACAAAACTTATGTCCACAATGTACTTGGGCACATAATGAAAATTTCACTCTCAGGTAATACTAAACTTGAAAAATACAATAATTTTTTTATTTTAAAGTTGCCATCTTTTCAATTCAATCAAAGCAAAAATAGTATTTTTCCAGTTGAGTAATTTACCAGGGGTGGAAATGAAAAATGAAATTCACTCATTTCACTGTAAATTAGCAGAAATCTGACCACTGTATCACTGATAAATGTATAAAAAATAGATACTGTTGTATGTAGAAAAATGCTTTCAATAAGTTTTGATTTTTTCACTATTGACAGGATCAATAGATACTTGTAAATAAATTATTCATCAACGAATACATAAATCCTGGCTGGTGTTACAGTCAGAACATTTATGAGGCAGTTAAAAGCCAAGTCTGGTGTTTGGAGTTGGTTCAAACACATAAGTGGTCAGAAGAAAAGAATATACAACTACTTCAATGTTTTTAGTCCTCTTTTCTTAGAGCTACAGAAGTTTGGAATGTTTTCTACATTTTTCCCAAGTCATGGAACTACTCATATTTCATAAAACCATAAAAAAAAACAGGCGGGAGATGCACTGTCCTGTGACTTTCAAACTGAAAAGGCCCAAAAGTGGATAAAGCACACAATCCAAACATAAGGAAGAGACTAATTTTACTCCATGACCCTGTGTGGGTTTTTGTTGTGGGTTGGGATATTTTTGGCTTCATTTGGTCAGGTTTTTTTCAGTAATCTGTTTTTTATTTCTTAAGTGATTAAGAAACTATGTCTTCTCACAAGCCATTCAGTAAAGAGATCCTATAAGCTGGGGTAAACTTCTGTCTACATAAGGAACTTTCTTTAAAAGAAAGATATTCAAAACTCTCAGTAAGTACCTTCGAATGCATCCAGAGCATCAGCGGAGTGAATTCGTCTCAAAGTAGAAACATTGTGCTACTTGAAACATCACATAATTTTTATGATGCAGCAAGTTTAGACCCCACATTTCAGTATAATTTTTATGCCCCGAGACTTCTGGTTACCTCAGCTCTACAAATGATGCATTGGTGAGATTACCTGTATAGTCCTCTGAGTGCCATCAATGGTGACAGACAACAAGGGTGAAGCCAGGTTCCACTCGCTGGTCACATTTAGTTTCATCCCATCAACTTCCACCTGTTGTGACACCAAACAAGGCTGTTACTATGAAGACAGACAGAAAACTGATCTCAAGTTCATTACTGCATACAAAGCAGCAACCATTTTAAAACAGATGGCTCCCAAACAACCTGTCATGTTTACTGCTTCTGCCATAAAAGACAGGGTCCAACAACAGAGTCTTCCACCTATCTCTGGGGAGAGGTGAAGGACCTGTGAACAGCTGCCTCTGAGTAGCAAGGTTTCAAGTGATTTCCAGCAAGTAACAAACAGCCATCCAACTTTTAAACCTATCTGGACATGCTACATTTACTGCAATTAGACAAGTAATGCATATAAATTCCAGTGACACCTTGCAACCCACACAACAGGGCTTGCATATAATATTCTCTCCAAGGACCTAGGAAGAACTTTTCCTATGCTTTTAATGAAGGGTTTTGCATTGTTATCTTAATTAATATGAGGTAGTAATTAATTCTTCAGCATTTTATCTCAAAGTCTAGAAAAACTTTGCAAATTCTGACATGTTTTCTTTCAATATACAGCTGATCACAGCAATACAATTTCTGACTTGAATGCCAATATGCTTATCCAGATAGATTTATTTTTTTTAATCATCCCATACTCCTTTTAAAATATATTTCTAGGTGAAGAGTAAAAATTCTGGGTTCAGTGTAGATTAGAGTAGTTGTAATGATACTTCTGTCATTCTTCTGTTGTATAATACTGTTTAAAAACACACATCACATATTCAACACTATGAGAGCCTCAAAGACATGGATTATGAAAAAAATTATTATACATGGATTAATATAATTAGTGATTAATATTTTTTGCATGTTTTGAACACTCATCATGCTATTGAAGGTAGGTAAATATGATTTCAGTTATATAATTTACTATAAACAGAGGAAAAAAGTCACAGTTGACCAATTTCCTCCCTCTCTCAAAATCTCCAAAGTATTTTTTAATCAGTAAATTACAGACAATAGTGATAATGACACAAATATTGCATACATTCTCAAACTAGAGAAAATGTACTGCATTTAGAATAAAAGCTGAGCCCACATTTTGCAAAATAAAACTTATAATGCCTACTCTTTTAGATCTCAGACTTATTATTTCATCTTATTATAAGAACAGGCATCTTAAAAGAAATCCATAGCAGAGAAGTGCAGAGGATCAGTGTGTAATCTGATAATTTTATTTCCGTTAAGAAGAAAAAGTTCCGGCTTAAAAAAACCCTCTAATTTTATAGATTTCAGTTTAGAACACAAAGTCTGTCTTAGGAATACAATCTACACAATTTCTATGGGCTTTAACTATAAATAAAGTTACATGTAAAGAACATGAAGAAAAACAAGTGATTTATAAAGGTTCACCAATAGGCTACATTAGCTGGCATGCTTCAGGTACTTTACACTGCTCCAGTGATGCAAACCAGCCCCAAACCTGGCTTGAGTTAAGCCAGGCCTGCAGCTGGTTTGCATTTGCAGAGCACTGCAAAGCAGCTGGAACACACTGGTGAACCGAGCCCACTCTCAGCATACCTGAATCAGCAAGTACCATCTTTATTGAGAACAGAAGAAACATCTGAAAAACTCTCCAAATGGAGAAAAGCAAACTCAGCACTCTGTCTTAACCCCCTCTGATTACCAATTGAACTTTGGTAAGGCAATTACTTAAAAAGCTGCCTGTCGCTATCGCTAAAACCAAAGAAAGACTTGTCTGCACTCGAGTCTGGGTCTGAAAACATCATTTACCATGTGTCTCCAGGGAGGGAGGTGAGATGGTATGAAAGCAGACCAGGCTACTGGTCACCAAAAAAACCTTCAACTGTGCACTGAACTGCTCGTTGCACTGCAGGATTTACATGCAGCCTTGCAGAAAATCTATAGCCAGTATCTATAGTTCTAGCCAAAGGGTGTTCCAGGGACAAGATGCAAGTCGATACCTCCACAACAAACTCAAGTTTAATCATTAGCTCTTTTGTCACTGTACAGATGAGCAAAAGAGAAGTAAACCAAGTGGGTCACAGTGGTAAATGACCTGTTCAAAATCCCTCACAAGGGTCTATACAAGTCCAGCCATCACTGATTCCAGATTACACTAGTATTAAAGCATTTCTGGTGGAAACCACCCTGAAAGAAGAGACATCAAGCAGATGCTAGGTTTCCCAATTCAAGAAAGAATAAAGAGTCAGAGGAAGGGTTATGTGAACTAATGCATATCCCATAAACCTCAGTATTCTTCTCACAGAATGGAGCTGGCTTTTAGCTGTTTTCACCTCCAGCTCAGTGTGGTATGTGCAGCGGGGGAAGATGACCTGAAGCCAAGAGAATCCCAAGGAAATTTGGGTATCTGTGCTCCAATAGGTAGGATGATAAAGACAAGAAGTCAGGATATCATAAAAAATTAACAAGGACTGAGGGTAAGAAATTTACCATGTAGTGAGCATGTTACTTTTACTAAAAATGAGGGAAAAGGGGGAAGAAGGGGGAAGATAGGACACAGTGGAACAAAAACCAGGTGGGGATTGAAATCAAACCAATACTTTACCCAATAGAGTAAATCTTCTTTCTGCAGCTCAGCAGCCAACAACCTAGCCAGGTTAGTGTGTAGAAGGAGGGGAAGAGACAAGACACTCAAAGAACTTGTCAGAAGTTTTCATTTGTCTTCATTCATCCTCTAGCAATGCATAGAATAATGGAACCTAACAAATACTGCAATAAAACCAGGGTCTTTTTGCTTTAGGCTTGGGAGGGGAGAGGGGGTGTAAGGATGTAGAGTGTGAAGGGAGACATGGGGATTAACTACTGAAGTTACATTGACTACTTCCTGTTTTATTTTGTTTCTGTGCTCCAAAGACGGCCAAGAACAAATCATCATTGAACGGATGGTAACACTTGAACTGCAGGGAAAAGATCCCAGTCAATTCACTCCTGCAGTGGGAGTCACATTGTGCTTTACACCACAGCTATGTAGTCTAGCTTTATCCTCAACCACTCAGTTCCAAGAATACAGGGGTGTGTGGGTATGTAGGCATGCATACGTGCATCTACAGTAACTGTGGTTGTTAAACCATTGCTACAATACATCCATGTGGTGTAGTGGTGGTGGATTGTTCCTTTTTTAAAAAGGTTTGTTCGTCCCTGTGTAAGGGCATAAAAGATAAAAGCAGCCACAGTCCTTTCCAATTATTTCCAATTCAAAAGCTATTGCAAATGAGGTCTCGGAAAGAAGAATGACAAGTCCAAGACACGATGCTAGAAAAAGGTCAACAGCTTACTCCACTGTCACAACTTTGCAGACTTTCACTGGCATGCACCTGAACTACACAAGCAGCAGCCCCTTCACCTCTTGTGGACTGAGTTCCTGATGTTCACGTGATAGGTACCAGCTAACCAATAGTGCAAAGAGCTGCAAAGCATAATCTGCATTCAGTTTCCTTTAGAGAACAACATTTGGCATTCTATATGCATGTCAGGCAATTAAAGAAGGCAGCACAAGCCTGAGTGTTATAGCCCTGTTAATTTACTAATGCAGAGTCTCGCGTACATCTGGCACATGTCACTACTTTTCTCCTGGAAATGAAGGTAGTTTTCCAGGAGACTGGAGGGCAGCTCAAGCATTTGTTTCCTGCCTGATCCTTCAAAACATTATGCCTGAAGTTCCTCATGCCAGCCTTGAGTCTGACTAACTTAAGTCTGCTGATTTAATCCCACAGTTCCAGTTCTGCCTCCCAGCGTGTTTAACTCAAGAGTCTTGGCCCTAACTACTTGGATATGCTACCCCTAGCCATATTCCATATACCTCTTAATTCTACCTCTTGCTATAGCAAAAGTGATGGCATTCCCTATCAGATCTACCAAATGAGAAGTCATCCTCTGTAGATGTGCCTTACTGAAATCTTTCTCTGATCAAGACAGCTGCCCATGAAGATGTACCTTTCAGGAAAACAGATATTACTCTTCACTGGAGATTAATGAATATTCACTGTCATAGCCTCCAATCCCTTCAACTGGCATTAATTTAGCTGGAAATATAAGGCACATTCAGTGGGCAGTAAAAGCTCTACAAAGTGAAATCTTAAAACCATTCCTGCGAGGAAGGAACAAAACTAGCAAGCATCACTGTTGTGAACGTGAGATAGCTTACACAGTCAAGGACTTTATTCAAGCCTACATAAAGTAAAGATGACCTCTTCTCTGGAAAAAGTAACTGTCTCAGGCAGAAGACCCTTTACTTCCATTACTGCTAAATGCACCACCCATGCCAAAATAGCAAGGAGATTCTTTACATTTTTATAAGTCAGGTAAAGGATAGGTATTGCCTCCTGTGCAAAAGAGGAGGTGGTCAGAGGACTTGTAGCACAGTGCGGCAATAGCAGGTCCAGCTATAGGAGCAATATTTAGTACATTCAGTAACAGTCTGCAGTGATCTCAGGCTAAGCAAAACTGAGGTGAACAAAGCAGCTTTTGGTTTCCAGTTTTCACAAAATTAATGAAATTCTCAACTAATCCACTATCCAGCTAACAGAGAAGTACATGGAATGGAATAGCAAAGGCACATGAAAACTATCTGATGCCAAAGCTATCATCCCTTACCTTTTCCAGTCCCATGCAACCTCAGGAACGTGAGGTAAGTCTTTATGGGGCTGATGACTACAAGACTTCCTTTAGAAGCATGATGCATGAAGGCATTTTGTGAAATATTTTGCTAGTCCTCAATGTAAAAAAATCTTTCCCAGCCAGCAGGAGAGTTCAAACACTATTTTGCATCTCTCTATATATTTCCAAAGCCCATAACCACAACACACTTCCTTATCATGAAAATTAATGGCTACCTGGAGCCTGTAAAGACTCATGGTAATTTGCAGAGTTGTCCTGGCAAGTATTGGGTCTTCTTACACAATTTGCTCCAACTTCTTTCTTCACATTGTCTTTAAGAACCTTGAATAAAAACAGTCATATCTGCCACATTAGGAAATAGGAACAACCAAATAGTACTTCACATGT